TGTGTGTGTGTGTGTGTGTGTGTGTGTGTGTGTGTGTGTGTGTGTGTGTGTGTGTGTGTGTGTGTGTGTGTGTGTGTGTGTGTGTGTGTGCAGTGGTTGTGTGAACTGATGAATTTCTTGAAAGTTTAGATATATACATTCTTGATTTAATCGGTTTCTTATGTTGTTAGTGAACAAAACCATAAGATGAGATAAAGATTTTCAGAGATTCTTAAGATGTGTGCTCGAGTCACAAACTATCTTTATGGTAACATTAGCAACTGGTTTCGAATCCAATTAATTTTTGGATTTACTCCAGTTGGTTATTCCAGCAGATTAAGGTGTTCGGTTAAGGTTGATAATTTAGGGCTTATGATCCGGAATAGGCAAATTTCTGTAACAGTATTGTCTGCTAAATATTGCCGTAGAAAACTCTATTTGAAAGAATTCAAAAAAAAAAAACGTTAATAACGATGAGTAAAACGAAATGAAACATAATGTTGCCCGAAGTTTGATCCCATATTAAAGGTGAAGGTAAAAGCAGTGCTTTCTCTTCTGCTAATTATCATACTTTCTATCATTTGCTGTTAATTTGGATTAAAATAATTGAATATTCGATAGCAAGCAAGAAATATTATCTGTGTGCATTCCTTGGTGAGATGATCCAACATATAACCTAAAGAATGCCTTTGGATTACTTGACATTCATTACTCATCCCCTTGAAATAGAAACTATTTGGGAAGGCGGGAAGGGGTTGAAATGCATTCAAATGATCCGGACACCATTTTTTTTAATTCTAAAATGTGAGACACATTCCATTGTTGCGCATCTAACGTTTTTTATGGCTCATTTGACGCCGATTTAAATGTGACTTCAGTAGTGTTCGCATGTATTTTCGCATATGCGTGTGGCCATGTAGAATGTTTGTGATCAGCCGGATCACTTTTTATGGAATAGCATCGAGGTGACATCAAAAGATAACCTATGTTGACTTCACTGTTCATTGTCGTTGCTGAAATAAGCATGGTATGCATATGAATAAAGCTTCGGATATTCTTTTATTATGCTTCTGAACTAATCAAGGTAAACCTGCCTCAATTTTTTTTAGACATCAGCTGAAATTTTAGTTGGACAAATAAAAATCAGTTATCGCTACAAACGGAAAGCAACATGTATCCTGAAAGCTATTTTAGATAATTTTGTTAGCTTCAAAATGATCATAACATGCAACAATATGAAATCATGCGCCAAATGAAAAATGAATTACTCAAGTATAGATTAGACTATGAGAAATGAATATATTCACGAGAAACTATTCTGAACTATAAATTGTTCTTTTAACATATAAATCTTTTTGAAAAGGATGGAAAATATATAGAGTAACAGGAGAATATTAATTTATGCTAAATTTCGAAAACCTTACTCTTCTAATGTTTAAACAAAAAAAGACCATTTAGTTTTAGATCTAAAAATAATTTATGTATTTATTTTACTTATAATCTGCAATCTATAGCACAGGAGAAGAAGAGTTAGATGGAATCTGCATGAAGTATTGTATTTCGTTTTCTGTTCATCCTTCTAAATAACTGTTTCGTCGTAAGAAGCAGATATGACTTGAGAAATTAGCCATCCTCTTTTTATTTTCTCTTTTATCACTTCCAGCCTAATGCAGTAGTAGTTATTATAACAGGTTCGGTTTGTATATCAAGAGTTTGTCACTTCATCTGCCCAGGTGGAACTTTATTAGGAAGGATTGTTGGAGACGTTATCGCATCAAGGAATCTGAAAGATTTTGGTGCCTCAGCTAGAGGAGAGTTGGAAAGGGTGTTTTTTTTAGTTGATAATTTCAGAATTAATGTTTGCTGCTTCTTGACTGATCGCCCTTCCATCATATCACTACCTTCCAACTGTCTATTCATTTCAGTTTGAAAACACGTGTTTCTCTTTTACAAAAAATTTACAACTTTAAAGAGGCTGTTAATTACATCCACCTTTATCATCTTTTCTCGGGGCCCTGAAAGAAGTAGAAGTTAGGTTTAAAAAGGATTATTCTTCGGTGAAAGGATTATTTTTGTGGTGGTAATCTTAACTAAATATAGCGATCTTTTAACAGAGAGTCATAGATTGGGAATGCCGACATTTCATTTAATTGATGGAGTGTGTTATAAACTAAAGAGGTTCCCATACGTTAAGGTGTATCAAAGAACAAACAGTTCAGTTTAATAGAAGTTAAAAGGGAAGAAAAGAAAGAAAAGTTCATTCAGTGTCATTTCTTTAATGCTTTATTTGCATACAAACTAACAACAATTCCTCTTGTCTCTTGTTGTTCGAGCTTTTTTTTTCTGGCGTCTTTTAACCATTTTGGGACCGAAAAGATGTTCGAAAAATTGTCGCGTTCTTTTGATCTTTTCATAAAAACAGCAGTTCAACTGCATCGAAACATTTTGCCTACTAGACGACGTCGTCGCCAGCTAGTCTCGACTCTCGACTTGTAAACTACTACTCATCTCTACCCCTTTAGCACACACTCTCCTATCAACCAATGAATAAACACTTGAGAGTTGTCAGATACGGTACTCGTAAAGCAATTGATCGTGGTTCTTTACTGCTTGGCAACGCTATCATCAAAAAATAAAGAAACCTTGATACAGTTCAAATCATCTCTAAGAGTTCATTTCATGAAGCCAACATATCATTTCTACATGACTGATTTGTTGTTGTCAATAAATACGATGGATTAATATTTTGTCAACTTCAATTTATCTTTTCGCGAAAATTTTTGATCTTAACAGTGTGATCATATGGAACCGTCCAGCTATTCTAGGCCACTAAAAGTAACTCAGTTTTGTTCATTCAATAGCATAAAGACTAACTCGTGTTCATTAAACCATCACTGCCTGCAGACAATTGCTTAAATCACTCTTTGATCTCTTGTTCAAAAATGAATGAAATTCAATTTACCTGATCAAAATTGTGTTTGCTGTTAATCTTTCAAACAATTTGTTTCCAGCGAGATTGCTTAAAACGTATAGATTGAACTGAAATTGAAATGTATAGCACCTTTGATTTATTCGTGGTCATTGCATGCAGTCATGGATATCAAATTTAATTTCCATTTTATTTCTTTATTTGCATAAAATTTGTTTTATGCTATTTCAAGTATTCCCATTGTATTTCCATTTCTTCGATTCCTGTTCATTGTGTCTTTTGTCCTTCCACATCTCTAGCAGTCCACGGTCCCGTAAATGCAATAAGCGTAATATGAACGCAGTCATCGCATTTGTAACCTGTTCAAATTTTTCACGAGACTCGAAGAGACGATTAAATGCCTTAGCATAAAATGAGATAGACTGTTTTAACGAGGTAAGAATTTCGGAAAATTTTTCAGGATTAAAATTTTTGGAAATTCCATACGTCTTTTCGGGGTGAAAGAGACCTAATTAAAACTGTCGTTCGTAAGGCGTCCAGAAATGTTCTCTGAAAAATCAGGAAAAGGAAACGATGTCCTAATTCTGCCCATATATTTGTCGTTTCATCAATGAGCTATCCATCAGCAACAGTAGATAAATCTTTCACCTACTCGGTCCTGAATCTTCCATCCGAGGTCCGAAATTTCACTTCTTTTTCTGATTCTCAACTTAATACCTCAAAGCAATGTTCCCAATTGCTCTCATTATTCTTCTACTACAATCGACCTTTCATATCCTAACAGTTCTGGGTCACAGCATGATCAGTTCCGATTGTTCTGTTAGAAGACTGCTACATAAATATTTTTATCCGCATATATCACTCTTGATGTCGTTCCACTTCACCTCCCAATTATGCTAATTGATGTCCGAGGTAGAGAGGAGGTATAACTTCATTGTCTGCGCTGGGCAATGTTAACCGGTTAGAAAAAATTTCAAACTTTGGGTATTTAGAAAAAAAAATTGATATGCGTATCCTTTTATCTCTCCCGCATGTTCACTATCCCTCCCCTGTATCAAAAAGGTAAAAAAAAGACGGAGTACCTGGAACTAACTAATAGACTCATTCAGGACAAGTTAGGAATGTGCCAAGAAACGAAATCACTGAAATCTGATTTCCCTCTGATCTTGATGAGTAGCTATTTGCTGCATACGATGAACTGGTTTCGAGTAGAATTAACAAGAGCTGGTTTTTGGTGTAATGTCTATTTTGAGAGGGCGAAGTTTCTGCTTCACCTCTCCAGTGACATACCTTCTAATTTCGCTTATCTTTCCTGGAGTAAAGGATTAAGTGGAGTAAAGCATGATAGATGCAATAGGTTATTGTGAAAATGAGCTTAAATAATCAGAACTGCGATCAAGCTGGTAGTTGTTGTGAAATAGAATTAACTGTCCAATTATCGGAATACCCGTATATTGTTCTATTCCGGCAGGGCCAGCACGAGATATCCCGTATTTAGTGATTTATCATCATCCGCCCGCATTGTTTCAGAATCCCATTTCATGAATTGCGTAAGGAGATGGATTTTGCGATGAGTTTGGTTGATGAATTTAAGTACCCGTTGCTCTACTCCTTGTTCACAGTTAATGAATAATTCATTGGTCGCGTATAACAGTTATTTCTTTTTCTTTTCAACATTTACTGTGAAATTGGAAATAAGCCGTTAAAAACTCGAAAATATGTGAAATTTAATCTTAATCGAACGTAATATTAGGATGTGAATTTAAAATTTTTTTAAACGACGACTTACCGGTCAGCAAAGGCCTGTGTGGGAAGTTCGGGTACTGTCTTTTTGCGAAACACCCATTTCTTACTGCTGCGCATATTGATGCTTCAATTCTCTTATTGTTAAGGGTACTGGTAGTTTCACTTATTATCTTATTGTCTTGAGATTTGATTTGAAATATTAGAACATTTATTGAAGAGAAACGAAATTTAAAGAAGTTTAAAAAGATATGCTGGAGTGATATTTCTTAACTATCTTCATCGTTCACGCGGATGATTTCTCACAAACCAAAAAGGATAGTTTCCTGGACGACATGCATTTTCTTTTTTCGGATTGACAAGATGAGACACTACGAATTTAGGGCATGCTCCTTCTTCTTCCTTTTCCTTTTCACGGATACTCATTCTCCTTCTCCTTTCATCCTTTCCGATTTATTCCAATCCATAAATCCTCTCTATACTTGTGCCCACCGTTAATCAATCTCGAAACTTTTGCAACTTCATTCCGAACTCCTCTTTTTTACTTTCATTTTAATTGTTTGTTTTGGGGGTTTCTTCTCGTCTTTTCATATCGAATGTAATATTTGGTATTCGTTTTATCATTAATTTTCAATAAATTTTGCATTCCTTTCTTGGCTTCGTCTGTCTTCTCGTGAAATTGTCTGTTGTAGACAAACTTAAGTATTTTTTTAAGTGTTCGAAAGTCTTCCCGAGATTTCTTGAAAACTTTCATTATATTTGCATATGAACTATATTGTAAAAGGAAAAGACCTCACTACACTCGTCTTTTTAGTGTCACTAACTGCGAAAATTTTATTCTTACTGATCGTTGTGTAGATCCAAATATTTTCATCTTTTTATATTTTGGAAAGAAGGAAGTTGAGTAATCTTTGCCAATCAGTATCTTTTCTCTTCCACAATTGATCTAAACAACCATTGCAAAGAGCTTTTGGAAATGAATTTCAAACAACAAATAAGACTAAAATCTTTGTTAGTATTTTAGAAACATGCTATTAACTTCTGGAGGCGTGGAATATGTTAGTGTTATATCGTTGTCCAAAAATAGGAAAGTACTGTTAGCTTTGAAGTGAAGTGTGAAGTCGGATTCAGATAAGGTGATAATATTCGAAAAGTAATTGGTATCGATTAAGACTAAACAAATTTAGTGCTTTTTTCGAGCACTAAATTGCAGTGGGAAGTGGTTTCACTTTCTGTTTAATAAATGCCTAATTTGCTAAAATATTGAATGAAGAAGTTTAAAAAAATGGGTTTAGAAGTATGGCCCATGGCGCTGATGCCGAGGATCAAAGGCGTCTATTTTAGTGCTTGATGTTGTATTTTGAAATCTCAGTTTTAATCTTTGAAATCTTCTTCTAAGAAACTTGTCTTCAACAAATATGTCTGTGTAATTGTCTGGTATGAGTTAAAATGTGGGGTCCAGATGTTAACGCGTTACAGAGATCTCATATGATATCTGATAAGAAGGAGGATGCATGCGCTGACAACATCTTACTACATGCAAATCATTAATTTCACCATATATCGGTGTAGAAGATGTTCCCAGCACTTATCACTGCTCCAATCATCATAGCAAGTTGGAATTTGAACCATTTTCCAGTATGCTAGTTGCAGCTAATATTGGCATGTTATCTTCGCTCCTTAATTGTCGAAAGTTGCGCAAAGGAACAAACCGTTAACATTGCTTTCCTATGGGATGGAATGGAATGTGGAGTCAGAATGGGATGTATGCTATACTGCAATGCATGCAGTGTGCAATCCCTATTGATTCACAGTTGTAATGCAGAAAAGAGGAGAGGAAATGTCAAAGATATGATTTAGTGGTAAATGTTGGTGATGATCGTGCAAGAAGTGAGTGAGTAGTTGACGAAAGCGCTAATGAACGTTGCTTATGCGCCACTATGATTTATCACTTCTTTCACATCTGTATAATTCTGCTTCCTTCCTGTATTTGCCATTTCAATTTGGGAGTCGCTTCTAGATACTGTCAAGATACGGTGCGTAGTCCCGTAGTATTTGAAAAGTTAGCGATTAACTGAGCCCATATCCTTTTCTCTTGTTATTACTTGCGAAACTTCTGGTCACAGGTACTCCTAAGCTTCACGCAGATTTTGCTCTTATCGATAGTATTAGCAATTTGAATGTATGGTATGAAGTCGTGGCATGAAGCAAATTTCCCGAACTGCTGATAAGCAGATCCGTTAGTAGTATTTGTTAAAAGGGTATATGGAATGTATTTATGTGATGTCACACTAACCTAAATGCAGAACTGGATTCATCCAGAAGGAGGCACGACGGAAAGATTAGAAACTTTGCTGTTGAATGATGGTTTTGATTTTCAGCCAGTATAATCTAATAACGAATGTGATATTTATACTCTCTATCATGACATCATTCCCCCCTTTGTACTTAGTCCTGAAGTACACATTAAGTTGTTTTATATGTGTTTTGGTATTGATAATTGAGAAGACTGGTGTGTATGAGCTATTTCAATATTGTGATATTTAAATCGAAATTGACAAAAGTGGGATTTTTAGTTGATTAAGTTGATTTAAAGGAGGGAAATTGTCCCTCTGATGACAAGAGATGTGAGTAGTCCCATTTCCCTCAACGGTATTCTACAGTTATTTGATGCCTGATGGAAGAAGCGTTAATCGGATTCCCTCAGGGTTACCGCTCTTTTCGATTTTTGTGAGGAAAGCCGCCGTAATGGTATTAGTATCTGCACATTAGAAATGCATGTATGCGCGCGCATATGTGACTGCTCAAACCTCTTCGAGATTACTCTTTACCATCCGTTTCTTCTAATTTTAGATAAATCAAAGCTTGGCTTTCTTTCCCGTTCATTGTGAAAATGAAAGAGTCATTCAAGGAAATCACTTCATTTCCTTTTGATTTGTTTACATACATGCATACATACATACACACACACAGGCACACACACACATGCACATACATACACACACACACACACACACACACAACTCTGAATATTAAATTTACCACTGAACGTCTATTTGTCCATTCGCTGGTCCTTGTTCTACAGCTCTATTTATATTCGCATTTCATCAGTCGAGATAGACTGTTATTTTTGACCAGAGATAGCTTCCCTTGTTTACCAGCTTTTTTCTCCTTTATCCCTTTTTCGAGTACCATGAACCAGTGGAAAGTATGAAATTAGCTCAAACAGTCATATGTTGTTTGCAAAAGAGCTTACTGAAAAACTGACCACTGACTGATTCATGATTAATCCGAAATATGGGGACAGTGATCAAGACCAACAACTTCCGACCTTGGAAACTTTTGCTGTATGGCTCACGCTGATTAGCACAATCTAAATAAAATGAAGTGGCCGTATAAAATGCACAGGAGCTGTAATAAAACTTAGCTTATGTGGTCAGAAATGACCTTAGGAAAGTTTGTAGTACCATATACCATATACCATACAGCTCAAAACAACTGTAGAGGGAGCTGTTTGTATTATAGTAAATATTGTATAGGCCTGGAAGACCATGAATATAATAGTTTTTCTCTCTCCTCTGTCATTCGCTCTGTCGCCCTGATTGTTTCCTAATGACAAATGCTTATTGTTATTTGAATGATTTAAAAAGAAAGTATTGAGACGATTGTCGATTACTATCAGGTAAGTGGACTTCAAGTAGCCATTATCTCTTTGTCTATCATTGATCTATTACATTAATCTCATATTTTCGTTGCTGTCGATCCCTCATGTTCCATCGATTTTCATCCATTAGTTCATTCCTGACCTTGAATATGTTGGAACATAATCATATGGAGAGACTTTAGGTTGTCTCTCAGGTAACCGGAAGACAATACTTCTCTATCGTTTGCATCTCGAACAGGTGTCATTGAGCAGAATATTAAATAAATACATAATGTTGTTGCTCATGAATGAATATATCATAATTGTTTATAAATTGTTATTGAAACTTTCTTGATGATATGTCGTGCTGTGATTATGGTTTAAAAAATCATTAGTATGAACAAGTAGCTCAATAGGTAGCCATGTTGTTTACATAGGTGTATAGGTGATACCTTAATAAATATTCTACCACCGAAATATGCTTAAAATTTGCATACGCTTTCTCTTACTTACTGTTTCAATTTTTAACAGATGCAATGATGGATGAAAATTTAAAATTAATTCTGAAACAGAAGATAACTCTAAAACACTAAAACAAGAATTTAGAAAGTCATACCTGTCTTACTTGTTTTCTAAAACATGCCAAAAAGTACGTGAGATAAGTATAACTTTTTAGATGTGAGAGTTTTGGCGCTGTGGAAGAAAAAAGATTCCAGTTTCCACTTTTTGATTATTTATTCTTTCTGTTTACTCGTTAAGTCTGTTTTCAATTTTTGTCTAATTGATAAACTTGCCAGTTTATTTTCCCATAATTAATACTCTTCCTGTCATTGATCATTCTGTGACATTTCCTCTTTTTTTCTCATTAAATACCACTGAGCAAAAAATTACGCAATAATATACTTTCTTTTGGGAAAGTAAAGATGTAATTGTATCTTTTGTAAACTTTTGTCGATCTTTCGGTACTCTTCTCTTTAGTTTATGTAGTTTGGCTATTATGAGAGTAGAAACTTGAAGTAATTAATCCATCTTTTGTCATTAACTTATTTATTGTTTTGTCTTTTTCTCGTTTCTACAATTACTCTCTACGCCATTTACTCTCCCTTCACTCTCATTTACGCGACAACCTTTTCTTTTGTGCTTTTCAGAAGCTTAAACCGACTATGACCCTAAGTTGGATGCAATACATTTGAATCTGTCCGAGAGTTGCATTAGAGATTTTATCATTTTTCAAGGATTGCTTTGGATGATAATTGCAATTACTCACTTATTCCTGGTCTATATTTATTGTATTAATTTATGATTTCGAACGCAAAGAAAAATGAACCATTTCTGACTTTGCGCGAATACTTTCTTCACTTCTCCTTGTTCCACTGTTTATTTTTGCTTACCGTACATTCTATTCATCTGTTTTACTTCTTCTTTTTCTTCCCATATATTGCTAATTTTTATGCATAGTTCGTTTTAAATGCTTTTAGAGACTTCGGGAATTTTCTAATTTTGTCTACAAATTGGTTAGCTATTGATGCTCTCTTCTATTTATGCAGTCTTCAACCCTGTAATAAATGCAATGATGAAGAGGCAGCTTTAGAAAAATTTGAATGATATTGAATTTATGTCAATCTCAAATATTTCGCTTGATAAGGCAAGTGTTGGTTTAAAAGGAATTAGGCTTCTCATTCAAGACTTCTGGGAAATCATTTCATCTAATGATGCTGAGTGATGTGCATTCCGGGTTACCGTATTTCCAGCTTATGCATTATTTCGTTTTCTCGTAAAGAAATTCAATTTATCGAAAAGTCTTATACTGGGATAACAAAGTTCGAGAATTTTTAGAACAGAATAATGTTGTTGCTGTACAACCGAAAATGACATTAAAGAAGTATTCCTGTCTTGGTAGTTCCGTTTTTATTACACCGTGGAGAGCCTGAGATGCCGATTTTCCTTACATACCTTATACTTCTCTACTACCTCGTTACTTTCTTCTCTTAGTCCGTAATCCTATTAGTAAGTCCATAAATAGGAGTATTTGGATTCACGATTTTTGAGTTACTGGATTCTGTTTGTTATGCAAATTAAAATAGTGATGCACAATCATCCTATCTTGCCATAAACTTTATTTGTAATTATTCATTGATGATTGCCAAGTTTACCATTGAGATCGATTTACTGATCTCAGTTCGAGGAGCGATGGATTCTATATTAGCATTAATAAGAATTTTGGGATTTTTCTGCATCGGAATATTCGAAGTACTTATAATGACTCTGATAATATTGATCACATCCATCATTTAGAAGGAATAACAACACTTAGGGGTATATAAATTGGTATGACCTAGCGAGAAATCATTAAATACTGATTATGCGGTTGATATATGCATGCTTTGAGAAACATTGTATTAAAGTGAACTGTATCTACTAAACTGCTAGTTGC